TACAATAAGATTTGCAAAACATACAAAGTCTGCTGCTTATTTATATGCAAGAGATTATGAAATGTTATATGAACAAACCCTATTTGGAGACGTTAAGTTGGATATACGATATTTTATTTGTTAACAAAACTTACACCACAATTATCTGTCAACAAGATTTACCCAACAATTATCTGTTAACAAGACTTACCCCACAATTGTTAGTAAACAAGACGTACACCACAACTATCTGTCAACAAGATTTACCCCACAATTATCAGTCAACAACCCAGTGGGCACGGACGTAAAAAAGACGTTTTTAAAACGTCTTCTAAACGTTTTAGACGTCTTTTGAACATCTTTTGAACGTTTTGGACGTCTTCTGAACGTTCAAAAGACGTCTTTTTTTGGTTCGGGGCCCACTGGGAAGACTTATATACCCCTATACACCTCTTTTCCAATCATTACATCTTGCTCCAAAAAACATTTCTTTTGGGTAACACAGTTCAACATTTAAAAACATTTTTCACAGTAGAGTGTACAAAAATTACAATTTTTGCTTTGCTTAAACATCAACTTTGCTTAAAAAAATTATAAGTTAATCCAAAATAGAATAGTTCAAATCTCAAAAGTCAAGGTAAAGTAAACTATTCAAAGGAAAGAAAATGACGAATTTGATTTTTTAGAAGACGAAAAGTTGAAAAATTAGGGAACAAAGAGTTTTATATTTTGTGATTCTTTATGATAAAAAGGAAGGGGGATCTATAAATTATTTTTATTGTGTGTAACGTGTTGCAAATGACCCCTAAATAATTAATACATTAAGTATTTTTATAAACTTAAAAATCCTAAGTTATTTCCTTTATAAACTGCTTTAATGTTTTGGGTTTGTTTTATTTATTTCAGTTATCGGATGGACACGGAAAAATCCGGTCAACTTTAAATTGAGATTTCTCCAAAACCACAAATGGTTTTCAATAAATTTTTTTTATTAAACCTTACTTCCTTATCTCAAATGGTGTTGATAAATTTTTGTTTACAAATTAATTATTTGCAAAATGTTTTGAGGTGCGTAAAAAAGTTGTGAATTTTTTTGATAAAATCCATCGACTTCCTATCGCTTGATTGCTAAACGCACAAATGTCCCAAAATCTACAGTCATAGATATTATAAACAAGTTCAAGACTATTCAAAGCTTCGAAAGAAAACTTGGAAATGGAAGAAAAAAAACTTTCCATAAATCCAAAAAGGTAAAGTCGATTTTACGTTCAATAGCAAGAAATCCAAACAAGTCACAGCGAGATCTAGCAAGAAAATTCAGGAATTCTCGTTCTTATATCAAAAAGTAATTAAAAATGCTGGAATTAAAGCATTTCATAAAAAAAATACACCTAAGAGAAGCTTAAATTGTGAAATTAAAGGAATTCGACGCGCAAAGAAGTTGGTTAAAATAATGGCGGATAAAAATATGTGCATAATTGAAGACGATTAAATATATTGAAAGGCGGAATTTTTCACAACTTCCTGGTCAACAGTTTTACTATGAAAACAAAGATAAACCTGTCAATGATCAATTTAAATATATTCGACGAGAAAAATTTGCATCCAAGTTCATTGTGTAGCAAGCAATTTGTAGCTGTAGTATATAGTCCTCTTGTTTTGTCACTAAAAATACCATGACTGCCAATCTCTACATCAAAGAATGCCTCCAAAAAAGAATTTTGCCTTTTATAAAAAAAAAAAAATACCGATGCCTCTTTTTTAGGCCGATCTTGCTGCCTCTCACTATTCTAAAAAAGTTCTACAGTGGTGCAAAGATAATAATGTGAAAATTGTTACTAAAGATGCGAATCTTCCAAATCGTCCTGAAGAGCGCAAGATTTTTGGGCATTAGTTAAAGGAGTTATTCGTAAGACAGGTGGACTAACAAATAATAAAAAAGACTTCTAAAAAAAGTAGATTAATGCCACCAATATGGTGAAAAAAGAAAAAATCTGTGAAATGATGGCATCAACCCGCTATAAAGTTCGATTTCTTGCCAAACAACCCATCAAGCTCCTTAAAGTTAAGTTGAAACTCTAATTTATGTAAACACATTTAGTAATAAAAAAATTGAAATAAAAACCATTTATGGTTTTAGACAAATCTCAATTTAAAGTTGACCGGATTTTTCCATGTCCACCCCATATATGTGAAAAGTAAAAAAGTTTGTAAATTATACTTATTAAGAAGTGAGCAATTTTAAAAATAATAATTAAATTTTCATAATATATAAAAATGTATTCCATATATAACAACTGTGTGTTTGGACGTAAAATTTATTTTTAAGGTATTAATTTAAAGAATTATCATGGCATAATAATATCAACTTTATTTTCTGAATTTAAAAAACTCTTTGACCATTTAGTATTGTTTTTAAAGTATATTGAAACAATACAAATATCTTAAATAAATATGCTGCTTTTAAGATAAAACCTAATTGTCTTAAAATCTATTTAAAATAAATGAACGTTTTCAAAAGAACAAGTTATAGATTAATTACTTTGTCATTTGGTCCCTAGTCAAATTATCTCTGCTTGTGTTTTTCTTATAAAAATGACAATATAGATTGAAGATGGACTACCTAGTGTAGGAAAAACAGCGTTTAGTTGGTTGCAAGGCTAAGTTGACGCACTGAATTGAATTTCTGCAAAAAAATTTATGAATGAAATTTTTTACCAGAAATGTCTGCAACTCACATAAAATCTTCCTTTGAAATTCTTCAAAATTCACTAGTCTATTCACTAGTAAATCAATTTGTCTTCTTGTTTAGTATTAATTTGTGCAAGTTATAACAATTTTTGTGTATGTTTTTTTTTTTTGCGTTTATTTTTTACTTTGTAACTTTTATAAATATATTACTTTATTATTTTTTTATTTTGTGTGTAAACTGTAAGTAACTTATTTCAGCACGTCGTAAGTTGGTATACTTTTTTTTCTTTCACCGATGCCCTATTTAAGAAAAAATCATTACTTGTTTTACCTTTGAACAGCCATAAAGAAAATGTTTTCAAAACTAGACTTGAATAAAATATATATGCACGGCTGGGGCAAAAACAAGACAAATTCGGTCTTATCGTCAAGCCCCTTAATCAATAGGTATTTTCAATAGGTTTTTTTATTTTACGAAGTCTCTTCCTTTAAAATAGAAAAAAAAATCTCATTGGTATTAATGTGTCGTCCCTTCAGTAAAAAACTACTTGAGTTAGTTTAAAAAAATATTCAAATTTAAAAAAAAAAGTTGAGTTGAAGTAATTTAATTAAGTATTTAACACTTAATTTATATGTCAGAAACTTAAAATTTTCTATAGATAAAAATTCTTTTTATTAAATTTTTACATTAGTTCTCATTTTTAACAACTTTGTGTTACATTATTTGTCAAATCTTGTGAATCATAATGATCCACTGATAAGAGTAGTTTAATCTCAGTTTTTATACCAAAGTTTATCGTTTATCGTTTATTTAACGTTTTGTACCAAAATTGAACTGTAAAAATACTAGTTGAATGTTAACAAATCAGGTTTATCAGTTAAATCTTAACTTTTATGCTAGAAACAGATTCTTTCACCCAAAGCACCTGTGTCATGACATTTGCTTTTTTTTTAAAAAGATTGTATCTTTTCAAAATATATTTTACCAGTTTTAAAGTATTTAGGTATATAATAATATATTAAGAAATACTTTAGAAGAACTGGAAGTTAGAGCCTATGAAAGTCCAAATAATAATATATTAAGAAATACTTTAGAAGAACTGGAAGTTAGAGTCTATGAAAGTCCAAATAGAGAAAAAAATAATTTAACTTGAGAAAATTCCGAATATTGTGTCTCAAAAGACATTAGATATAAAAATTGCAATCTTTGAATCCATTTGCTTATAAAGGATTAGCTAAATGTGGGCTAGAAAAAACTTAATTAAAACAACCCTCTTTGTTCTATATTGGCAAAAACTTAAAAATTTTTGCAAAGTTAAAAAAAAGTTTATTTGGAAAAAATTTCGAAATCGAAATAAAATCAAGCTTGCGTTTAATCATATTGAGAAGATGGTTTAGATGAAACTTTATAAACCTTTTAGGTAAAACCTGACTGCTATAACACAATTTGTTGACATTGTCTTCTAAGTTAAATTAATTATATTGTCTATTGCGTAGAGAGGGGCTAGTTGAGCTAAGCGGAAAGTTGGCAATCAAAATATTTCAAAACTGTGCATCGCATGCAAAAACTTCTAATGGATGAAAGTTAGAGAATTAGAATGGTAACACAATGCATAACAAAAGGTTGTTGGACGTCAGTCGAGTAAGCACTTTTTCTATTTTAGACCAAAATGACTTAACCAAGTTTCATATTATGGAAGTTGAACTATTTATTTCGTAAGTCACGCACCCCTCTCCTACACTCGACACATACTAGCGTCGGCTTATATATATATATATATATATATATATATATATATATATATATATATATATATATATATATATGTTTGTAGCTTTCTTCTATCTTTTAACAAAGTATAGTATAGATAAATAATAAAAAGCAAACAATTGTGACAAAAATCATGCTACGTTTGCACTATTTTTTTTTAATCTTTTAATTTTATTTATTAATTAAATTAAAGAAGTTTAATTCGGATTTTTGTATAAAACATAAAAAAGTTGAACTTTTTAAATACATTATTTAGTAATTATATAATAGATTGAAGTTAGTATTTAAGGTATAACTTATCGGTAAGTTTACCGGTAGATTTTTAAAAATTAATAATTATTTTTCTCTTATCGGTAAGTTTACCGGTAGATTTTTAAAAATTAATAATTATTTTTATTTTCTTGGCCATCATTATTTTAAATGATTACAGAAAATGTAAACGCTTTAAAATAAAAGTTTCCCAAAATTTTTTTTGAAAATTTTGATTTAAAAATTTACCGGTAAGTTTACATTATTAACATTGTGTGCAATTTAGATCAAACGACAAAAAAAAATTCACCTGAGCGGGAATGTCAACAGTGTTTGATGCAATAAGTTGTGCATTGTTACGTTCTTGTTTTTCCGCTGGAGAATAGATAATACCTCGTTTTTGGCTTAATGCTAAAGTTTTGTTAAAAAGATTTGATAATAAACAGTTTTATGCTTTTAAAACAATAATATTTAAAAGTTTTTTTAACAAACCTTCTTCATGGCTTTGTTGATTTTCTTGTTCAATATTTTTGTAAATTGATCTATCATAACCTCCTTCATGTGATGTTTCTTCGCCATGGTTTCCAAAATTTCCGAAATCTCCTCCATGTCCTTCTTCATCTGCGTAGTTGTTATAACCATGAGGGTGTAAACCAGTACCATGACCACTCCACCCTTGACCATATCCTCCATTTCCTCCATATTCTCCAGGTATACCTGAAATTCCAGATGACATTCCAGGTATTCCTGGATAGCCTAGTCCCATTCCCCCAACGTTATCGCTAAATAATGTGCTTGCACCAAGAGAACCAATAAGTTGTCGTTGTTTAGTGACATCCATCATTGCTTGTTCATCTGGCATTGCAATATCTTGACGAACATTTCCTCTCACTTGTTTTTTATTTTTCTTCTTTTTTATTTTTGACTTATAAGCAAAATTAGAGTGAATACCATTTACTTCAAGTCCACCAATATGCCCAATACTTCCACCGTAACCCATCTTCATAGCACCTGGATTATTCTGAAAACTGTGCTCTAAGTTTGAATAGCCAAATGCATTTCTTAATGGTGGCCCCATAATTGGAGGACCGTATCCATCATTTTCTTCGATGTGACTATTTGGATAGTAAGGGTGCCCAACACCGTCACCCATATTTCCAGACTCAGGTTCGTACTCAGCATCATTGTTATACATACGCCCGTCATCGAATGTTCCTAAAGGATAACTACCGTCGTTAACCATATTTCCACTTCCAAAGTTATTAAAGCGATCGTTAATCACACCACCAAAGTTTGCTAAATTGCCACCAACAAGGTTGCTGCTAGCAAAATGACCACCAGCTAAATTAAAACTTGGAGCATTGTTTAGGGGGTGAGCATATATATCGGTATTCAGAATATTTTTGTTTTTTAAGCCAACACCAAGAACGTTTGAATTTTCACCATAAACTCCGTTTGTTATTCCGTTGGTTAGAGGATAAACAATTCTGCTACCTAATCCGTGACTTCCTGCAAATTCGGTGTTACCAAATTCTCCGCCAAATTGATTAATTCCTTGATATCCTGATTCATTTTCATCATCTAATGTTCCAACAATATGCTTCTTTTTAGCTGTGTGTTTTTTATTTTTTACATTTGCTTTTTTTTCTGCTTTTTCACTTGAAGCATCATTTTTGTTTGACACAGCATAATGCCCAAAGCCTTCATTATATCCATTAACACCACTATCTAAACCATCACCAAAACCTCCACCGTATGCATTTCCTAATTCACTATTTCCTTCTTCAAAACCATGGTGGTACTCATGACTATGGGGAAACCCATGTCCGTTTCCATGACCATCTCCATGTCCATACTCATGAACAATACCATGACCATGATTGTGTCCGAGCCCACCTGCTAAGTTATAACCACTGACACCTGTATGAATGCCACCAATACCTGGAAATCCCATACCAAGACCTCCCATTCCATCCCCAAATAATGATCCACCTGCCATGTTTCCAATAACTTGACGCTGTGTGCAATCAGTATCATCCTCAGAGCATGCAATGTCCTTGGCAATCACATTCTGCCTGGTTTTTGCATTTTCTTCTTTTTCTTCTACAGCGCGAATAGCAGCTGGTGTAATTGCTGGAAGGAGCATATAGTCACGACATAGCAGATCACTCTTTTTATTATCTTTATGATTTTTTAATTTAGATTTTTTAAAAACATGATGATCTGCGCTATTTATATGGTTTCCACATCCCCAGCTGTAGCCATACGCGAAGTAAGGATAATCACTACTCCAAACATGCGAAGGGCTTCCGTGATGGTGAATAGAACTACCTTGACTTACGGCTGGATAAGTTAAAACCTGTCTTGTTGTAGAGTCTTTGTCTTTGCTTTTTTCAAAAGGAGAAATAAAAAACATCTTGACTTTATCATCTTGTTCTTCTGGTTCAACTTCATCACTTTCAACTGATGAAGATTCAATAGATGAGGGTTCAACAAACGAAGATTCAGATTGTTCTTGGGTTTCATACTCCTCTTTAGGGGTTTTATTTTCTGATTTTTTTGTATTTTCAATGTTTGATTTTGTTTCTACATCCTCATCAGCTCCTGAACCAACTTCTTCACTTTCTTTTTCTTCTTCTTCGTCATCGTTGTCGTCTTCTTCATCTTCAGAGCTCACAGCTTTTTCTTCCTTTTTAGAAATTAAACTCTTTGCTTTTGATTCAGATTCTTTACCTTTATTGTTACTTTCACTTTCTTTTGATTTTTGGTTTCTCATTGTGGACGAATCCGTAGCAGTTACATTTTTTTCTGGACTGGAATTTTTTTCTGCCAGTTTTTCTACAGCTTTTTCGTTTGTAGTCTCTTGAGATTTATTTTCGGGATGACTACTTTTAGTTTCCTCAGCAGCATTTGGTTTACTTTCAATTTTTTGTTCACTAGTCAAACGCTGACCAACCGGTATAGTGTCCACTTCAGTTTCTTTATCTGACTTAGCTATTTCATTTTTAACTGAATAATCTTTATTAACAGTTATGTTATGAATAAGAGCTTTTTTTGTAGAGTTTGCATCTTTGAGAATTTTTACATTAACATTATCTTTATCAGTCTCTTCTTCATCATCGTCATCATTATCATCCGCAGCGTCGTTTTCACTTATTAAACTATCCAAGCTACTTATATCTTTAATTACTTGGAGTATTTCACTGTTGTCTACAACGGGTCTAGATTGTGAACCCACGCAAATACTCAGTAGAAGTAGCACCTCCAACCACTTGCATTTCATGGCTTTAAAATTTGTTTGACTTATATAATAAGAAGTTAAATATAGTAAAACTTGAAAAAATAAAACTCAAAGAATAATTTTATCTAAAACATTTTACGTTGGTAAAAATTTTGTTTGCAGGAAGAAACCAAAATTATCAATCGGTATGCTTAGCTAACTCGCTTAATGAACAATTGATTATGCTTAGTAAAGCGTACGATTTTCAGAATACCCAAGTGCCATTATCAATTAGTCTAGTGGTGTTTTATTTTAGTTGATTGTTTCGACGGCGAATATAGCGCATGATAAAATAGCGACTGTTTATAAAACACGAACAAACAAACAACAAGTTAATTAACAAACTAATTTTTAATAAAAGAAACACAAACATTCTTTCATTTCGTAAATTTCAACATAAACAAAGTAATTTTAAAATAAATTTAAAATTTTGAATTCTAGATGTTTGAATGTTTGAAATTTTGTTATTAAGCAAAGTGCTTTAAAAATATGAGTTAATCAAAAAAGTATGCATGTGACGAAAAATGCAAAAAATACAAAATAAAAAATAATAAAAAAAGTTTTGGGGTTAAAGATCAGTTAATAGAGTAAGTAACAACAAAAATAAAAAATAGTAAAATGAATTATCTTAAATAGAATAAAAAATGGAGAAAAAAAAACCTGGTTGGCAATATCTAAATATTTGTTAAAAGTATATATAAATATTCTAGAAAATTTGTGTTGATTGCACTAATGCACAGTGTTAATTATATGTTAGCTACATGTAACAAACAATATTTTTCTGTAAATTCAACAATTACATTTAAATAGTTTTATTAAACAAAAAAAATTTTAAAAAGATAGTATGAACCATATCTTATATACTACGCGTTTTGATGTGTTTAAATTTTTTAGTTGTGCTTTAATTATTTTTATAATGCTTTCTAAAATAAAACATTTTAGAGTACTTTTTATATTGGGCGCGGTGACTAATTAAATTAAAAATTTTAGGGATATTTTATTCTAAGTACTTTTTCTCCGGCGCTGTAATTAACCAGATGGTTATTAGTAATAAATGTTTTAGTTTTATGTGCAGTCGCAGAATATTTTTTGACGGAACTCAATGAACGAACACTATGCAGATCGAGCAAAAGTATACCGAAATTCCAACTTAAGTTTTTTCATGTGTTTTGTAACAAATATTTCAATGAATATTTTTGTATACTAAAATTTGTATTAATGACATAACAATTACATGCGCAAACATAAAATCACACAGACGCACACACACACAAATATATATATATATATATATATATATATATATATATATATATATATATATATATATATATATATATATATATATATATATATATATATATATATATATATTTATAATAGATTATATATAAATTATCTATAAATTATCTATTATAAATTTTATATATATATATATATATATAATCTATTATAAATTATTATGAATATTAATATTATGAATATTGTATTGAATATATAGTATAAAATACTAATATTAATTTATACAAACATATACTATGATATTTTTAGTTAAGTTCCATCTGTATCAAATATAAATGGTTTAAAATGAAATTAAGAAATATTTTTTTACTGCTTACTCTCTTTGTCGTGCACATCAGAGCAGATGAAGAAGAAAGAGATCCTTGGGACAAATCTACAGATAAATATTGGAAAAACGGATCCAACAATGATGGCTCCAATCAAACAAATATGGACGTAACTGAAGAAACTGATTCAGAGGTACACACCGTGAAATCTAGTGTTGCCAAAGGAGAAAGTAAAAATGTGAACAAAAACGATGTTGAGAAGGTAAGAGAACAGTAGTATTTTGTTTTGGAAAAGATAAATGTTTTTAATACGGGTAAAACAGTTACTAAATATTGTAACTGAATACAGTATCAAATAACATGTTGATGTTTGGATATGAACTGCATGAGCGGCTATAGATAATAAATGTGGGTATGGATGAAATTTGTGCGTATGAATGACATGTGTGAGTATTGATAAAATGTGTGTGTATGGATGGTATGAGTGAGCATGGAAAACGTTTCTGGGTATGATGATTCGTGTGGCTATGACTTAGGTAAAAATAAGGATAAAAATTGGTTTATTTATCAAACCATAGTTTCAATTTCCAAAAAAAGATGGAAAATATTGCACGGTATACGTTTGGTATTCAAGAAATTCTAAAATACAAAATATTTGATCAAACGTTAAATAGAAATTGTAAAAGAACTGAAAACATTAGAATTTTTTTAAAACTACTTTTTTTAAGAAACTTTCATAAATTCATTGTTTTTGTTTATTTTTATGTTTAAAGAAACCTACTGTTGATGGAACAATAAAAAATATCAAAAAAAAGAACAAGAAAAAGAAATCTCTCACAAAAAAGAGTTTTTTCAACAATCACGGTAACTTTTACCCAGGAAGTATTTGGGAATATCCTTACCCATATTATCATCCTCAGTACGCAACCGTTTTGTCCGCAGTTATGTCACCTTGTGCCTGCAAACAAGGTTAGATGATTAGAAAAAAAACTTAGTACTTTTACAGTTTGTCAAGAAAATTAGCAGCAAAATTTTTTTGTTTTAGAAACTGAACTTGGTGCACTAGATGTTACAAATCAACTTGAAAGTGAAAGTAGTGCCAAACCTTTAGTAATTAAAGATAAATCTAAACATTCAAAGTCAAAAACGGCAAAGCGCCAACGGTTACAAAACTTGCCTTACTACTATTCAACTACAGGCTGGGGAGGTCTACCCAATTATAACCCATTAATTGAAAAAAATTCACCTATAGTTATTTGGGTTCCATATAAAAAGTAAGTAATTTTTTACTGTTTTAAGAAATTATAAAACGGTTTCAAAGCTAAAACTGAGAATAACCAATCAAAATCTAAAAATTTAAAATAAGCTTATGTCATAATTTTTTTATAGGAAAAGCAGCGTTTACGCAACGCGTCAATTGGTACCCAGTCACTACTATGGACCGCCAAGTGCTGGTTGGGGAGGATTTCAACCAGGGTATACTGGAGGAGGCTGGGGTGTACCATATTGGTATAAGTATGTTATTTAAATTTATTCAAACTAATATTTAAAGTATAAAAATAATTTAAAAAAAAATTATAGTAACAAAAAACATATATATATATATATATATATATATATATATATATATATATATATATATATATATATATAAATTTTGTGAGTGTATTCTACAAATAGAGTGCTTATTCGTCTTAAAAACAGAGCAATAATAAATGAATAAAAAACTTTATATATATATATATATATATATATATATATATATATATATATATATATATATATATATATATATACATATACATATATATATATATATATATATATATATATATATATATATATATATATATATATATATATATATATATATGTATATATATATATATATATATATATATATATATATATATATGTATGTATATATATATATATATATATATATACATATATATATATATATATATATATATATATATATATATATATATATATATATATATATATATGTATATATATATATATATATATATATATATATATATATATATATATATATATATATATATATATATATATATATATATATATATACACAGTTAAAACTTAATAACTAGTTGAAAATACTTAATGACATTAGTTTCATGCAAATTGTGAAATATGTGGTAATATTAATCTTGTTACCTCTTCTTAGTCCTCATCCTCCCTAGTCTATATTATCAGCCGATTTCATAAGGCAGTTAATTTAATGAGTTTTTGATTTTTTAAATTTTTTTCAGACATAAGTATAAACAAAGGCCTAACAGAGACCTAAAGTAAGTTAGGTACTTTGAAATTAAAAATATTTTAATTTAAATTGACAGTTAATAAAACATAAAGGTCAAATGAATAAAGGTTTTGTGATAATTTTTTAAAATTATTTTTGTGTTTTTATTGTACCAGAAAGCAAATACTCTTAAAATAGATGAAAAAAGAATACATACCATTTTTCTCAAGTGTAACTTTAAATGTCTAGTACTACTGGTAAAAAAAAAAAATAATGTAAGTATAGCCTTTCTAGTTTCTTTACAGATAAATATTATGTGTTTTATTGCACTCTTCCTTTTTCGAAATCTAACTTGTTTAAATGTTTATTAATTTACTATCATTTCAAAACAAAAAACAAAATATTTATTACATTAGTTTCTGTAAACCTTGGAAGGTGAGAGGGAAATGCAATTCTATCAATCCTTGTAAAATCACATACTTCTTCCACATGATACATAAAAAAGTTGTAATAAAATAATATTCATAACTCTCTTTACAATTGTCAATATCAGGAAAATTGCACCGACATGCAAACGGATTGCGCTGACAGATTACAAACAGATTGCACTGACAAATTGCAACAGATTAAACAATTTTATTTTTCATCACCTTATGATTTGAAGATTGAACCCCACAGCGGATAAAATTTTTTTAAATGTTCAGGAAATTTTAGTTTTTGATGGTTTGTCTTTTATCGGAGGAAGTTCTACCTTTTAACAAAGATAGACTTTGCAAAACACTATTGATTTTTTTCACACTTAATTCAGAGTCAATTTTTTATCCAATAAACCTTTTTTTTTATTTTGTAACCGTATCAAATTAAATATTTTATTTTGGTAGATTGCTTGTAGATAAATGAAAAGCTTTTTCAGAACACCTCCAAATACTAGACTCATGTTTCACATATCTTCCAACCATCTTTTAAGTTATTTTGATATCTCAATAAGAAATAAGGTACGCACATTCTCTGCCTTATATTCTTCAACTCTTTTTCAAAACACCAAGTTGCTTTTTACGTATTTTGAGAAAAATTAAAAAAAAAAATAGCTGAAACTCTTTTAAAAACATTTAAAACTAACGATTTCTATAAATTTTTTCGTAATTCTTCAAAAATATTTATTCAATAACGTTTATAGGCATCTAAATTAGTTATTTTGTAAAAATGTAAACTTTGAATCTTTTTTTTAATTTAAGGTGTTTTTAAAAAAATCTTTACTGTAATGATATCTTTCACTATAAAATATGTAGCACTATTAAAATTCGACGAAATTTTTAAAAACTTTTTAAAATTTAATTAAAAAAGCTGAGTATAAAAATATTTTTTTGATGTTTTAAAAGGTAAAACATTATGTATCCACTTACAATAAAATAATTTACTAAAAATAAAATATTAAGTAATAACTTAATAAGTTTTGTTTTTTGTCTCTTTTTTATTTTATTTTTTCTCTGTATTTGCTGCAACTAACGATACCGTGTTTAAGAATTTTTGCATAATTTGCGTAATTTGCGAGAATTTAAAGTTCAAAACTGAATTTGTACACGTTTTTACGGGTTTTGAAAAAATTTAGAATATTAAATATTTACCTGAAAAATCTGATAAAATAAATTATTAAAGTTTAGCTTATTTTATACTAAAGTCACTGAGCAGGTTGATGTAATTATTAAACTCACAATCTTCATTTGATTTTTTTACTCTCAAATTTACTCTTTCTAAGACTTAAAGCAACCACTAATCATTTTTAAACTTAACAGAAACAACCAATCATTAAAAAAAAAAAAAAATTTTTTTGAAGGTAAAAGAAACAATCAGTCTTTTTTAACAGTCATTTTTAACTACCAATCATTGAAGTGAAAATGGAAAAAAAGAAAGTGACTGAAGACTTAAAAGACTGAAAATTGTATAAATCATGAAATGACGGTAGGGAGTTTCAGTTCATCAATGGTCGAAAAAGAAAACTACGTGAACTGTTTTTTGAGCATGAAAGGAACAATTGTTGTAAATAGATTTAACTTTGCTATACGACGCTCTTTGTAATTGTGTTGACATTTATCAAATAAGGAATATCAACATCACTGCAATAATTATTTAAATTTTTGATTTAGGATTTCTTTTTAGGAAGCACCTAAAAAACTAATAAAAAAAACAACAAAAACAACACTTGACCATGGATGGAAACTTAAGGTGATCCAACAGTTACTAGAAATAAAGAAGAATATTGTCCATCAAGGACGACTTTAATAATGCGATTAAAAAGGAATGATTTAATAGTTTTAAAAAACTTTTTAAAAATCATTGAATCATTCCAACTTTATTAAAAAGCTTTTGTACATCAAGTCCTTGTTTTACGGCTTGCGTAAAAATGCACAAATCCTTCTGCTATTATTATACGGCTTCTATCTAATGCACGAATTTTTCTGTTATTATTGTTAACAATTTAGCATTTAAACGAGAGGATAAAAATCCCTACACTCGTTTATAGATGATGAGTAACAGGTGTGCTGTAGTACTAGAATAAGCTTTCAAAACTTATTCGAACACAATATTTAAAAATGTTAAAAAGAAAAAATCACTTTACAGTTTTGTGTGATAAAATCCTAAAAGATATTGCAAAAACGTTGAAATCCTCGATAAAATAGTGAAATATAAAAGAACAGGGAAATTAAAATGAAGAATGGTAGAGTATAATAGATAAAATGGTAGAATATAAAAGATAAAATGGAGGATTATAAAAAAGAAAATGATGGAATATAAAAAAGAAACATTTTCAATTAAACTCTTGAATGATCCCTTTTTCTTCTTTTCAAATTTTCAAACAAAAAAGAAAAAACTACTAAAAAAGTGACGTTTAACTCGATGTCAGCAAAAAGAAATAGAAACTTCCATGCTTGCTTGACAAGAATATTAAATAGAGAATACTAAGAAAGAGTCAATTTGATCAGAAATAACATTAAAGTAGTGCATTCCAGATAAAAAGGAAAACGGTAAAGAAAGAAAAGAAAGTTTATTGAGTATAGAATTGCTAAAGCACATAAAAGAATAATTAGAAGACCTGATTTCAATAGATAAGTTGATACGTAAGCATATTCACTGGCAAAGCATGTGATTATTAGATTCTTGCAAATAAAAAAGATAAAGCCATCATCAGCTAAGATCTGGAAATGAAACGACCAAACTTTAGTTAGTCTTAATAAGAAGTAGTAAGATTGGTAAATTTTGCAAAAAGTAAGGTTCAATGGATGAAAAGTTTATTATAGAAATATTTTTAGTTAAATAAAGATAATGAATTTTTGTAAATGATCAAAGATATTTCAAAGACTGAAACATTTTATTTCTATTGATAATTTTTTTTTGTTTGTTTTATGCAATATTCATTTTTTTAATTAATAGTGAACTTGACTCAACCATATACAACAACCTAAGCAATAAATAATGCAGTTGTCTTACTCGTGCTAATCAAGCTAATGTAGTAACTGAATTTTAGAGCAAAAAATCTCTTTAGAAGAGTGCAAGAATAGCAGGCACTAACATAGCAACATAACATAGCAATGGCACTTGCATTGACCATAGCAACCCATAAATAAAGTCAAGAAAACCCAGCGTTCAGGATCCAAGACAGAAAACAATTTGACGCGGGTTTACATTTACGCTAATCTATTAGATGAAGGAAGCATAGTGAACAGAAAAATTTTCTGCTTACCCCTAAAGCCTTTTTATAGGAGACTCACTACAATACCGTACCCAGATACAGGTAATATCTGCCCAGGATAAGTTTTTTTTTTTAATTTTGTTTTATGTGCCACTAGAAGACACAACAGCCTTGTCACAAACACTGCGGAAACACTACGGAAACACTGCGAAAACACTGCGGAAACAGCCTTGTCACTCCGTAAGAGCATTTAACTAGAAATTTCACTCCTTTTTCCTTACCGATTGCTCAAAATATGCCCAGAGCTCGCTTCGAACCCTGGATCTCTTGCTTCTAAAGCAAGCGCTCTGACCACTGCGTCACGCCCGCACAAAATATGACAAAATTTAAAAAAAAAAAGGTTTTATAGTATTTTTATAGTTAATAAGTATTTTTATTGAGTCACTCTAATTATTAAACAATAGTCTTGTTTAACTTCTGAAACAAAAACAAAAGAAAAAGCAATATTTAATCAGCAATTTGTAAAATGGTTGATTACATACTGAAAAATATTTCATTTGTTCCAATGCCTGGCAAACCAGAGTCATTATTTAGAGCTTCATATTGAAAATATAAAACATAATTTTTTTATTTATTCAGATTTATGAGTAGATTTGATTGAACTTTGTTAATTACTTAATACAAATAAAAATCAAATCCTAATATCTTGTAATTGATGTATTAACGTTTAATCTTATTGGATTGTTCTTGAAAATGTAACGAAGAGTATACAAAGCCAGCCACACTAGGCAATTTATCAAAACGATAATTTACCTAGTGTTTTGTAACTCTCTAGGATTAAAATCTTGACTTGTCTCTCCTTATTTCACTTATGAGTGCTTACAACGTATTCCTAATCATTCCTGTTTCTATAGTCTCTTTCTTTTTTTCTAATTTTTAAATGAATCTTTTAACTTAAGTTTAATTTTAAGCCCTGTTTTTAGATTCTATATTAAATGCATCTAATTTGCGGCGCAAATTAATTCCATTGGAGGTGTTTGATTTCGCTTTCTAACAAGTTTCGGATTATAATTTCCTCTAACTTAGAAAGTGTTTGTAAATTAAATATATTTATATTGGAAAAATGTTCTTTTAATCATACTTTATTGTTTGAAAGTGCAAATTTTCCGGAAGTGGAAATAGATTAAACTCAATCTGTTTCCAATATCCGGAAAGTGGAAATTTACATTCTTTAAGTTTTAACATTAAAATTATAATATCAATTAAATTCGACTTCCTTCCACTTTTCAATCACATGAGATTGGAAAAGTCGAAACAAATTTAGACAATCTTTTTTTTTTTTTTTCTTTAGTAAATTTTTTTACAAATAGTTAATTATATATAGGGCTTCTTTTTGCACTCTTTAAAACTAATGTATATCTTATGTTTTTTTATGAAAGACTATTTCTTTCTTTTTTTTTGAACAAAAGTTGCTTTACTAAACGTAGATTCTACTTCGACATTTCAATAATGCAATACTTTCAAACCGCACTAGCGGTATGTAGAAATCTAGACAAACTTGATGAATTTGTTTTATCAAAATTGATTAAAATTTATAGGACTTAGGGAAGGTTTATTTGTATCAAAGTTTATATCTCCCTTTTACGTTTACCCTCTGCGTTTCTAGGGCTTACTTGAGAAATAAAGAAACCTAAACTGCCAGCCGGGTTGTTTTGTTATGCTTTTTGCTAGAATCGGTCCGAAATCATTTTGCTGTGTATTTTACAATGGAGGAGGCGTTGTATTTTTAAATATACTGGCTAACTCATTTTCTGTGCTTTTAATTTCTTCTGCACTTAACCATTTCAAATTAAGTAGACCTAAAAAAACTGTTCTCAATATGATTTTGTTTTGAGCGTCTGTATTGTTAGTCTTGCTTACTAAGTGATGGCTCAAGTTAGGAACTATTTTATTGCTTTTTCTTTAAAATCACCAAATTCAGTTTTAAGACTGTAAAATAAAATTCTTTAAGCAACAAAAGATAAAATCTCGTAATTTCTTAACGATAACATTTTTGAAATTTAAAAAATGGATCAAGAACTGATTAAGATATCAACATGTGCCCAATCTCTCTCAATAAGTTTTAACATTTTCAATTTTCCATTCCAGCAATTTTTTTTTTGCGATGAGAATAACGGTATCTTTGAATTTCGCAAGTTGATTGAGCATTATATATGTAGAATTCCATTAAATACGATAATCAATGATAAAGTTTTTAATGTTGTATATATCTAGTGTTAATTTCCATATAAGCAAAACTACAATTATTTCCACATTTTCGTATAATTTTAACAAACTTTTTAGTTCAAGACAACAAACTTTGAACCTTAACAATACAATCTGGATTTACTTTATTCTTTTCTTCTTTTTCTTGTTCTTTTTATTTTTCTTGTTCTTCTCTTTTTTCTTGATCTTCTTCTTTTTCTTCTTCTTCTTTTCTTTTCTTTTTTTCTTTATCTAAATCTGCATCTTTTAGATGACTAGACTGCTTTATTAATGATTGTACAGTCCCTCGCCACAATATTATAATCACCTACAATTTTTGTGTATTTTTAACTTTAAGGGTTTGTAAAAAGTGTAACAAAAGTATAATTGCATTATTAGCTATATTTTATTGATAAAACATGTTTCCTTAATTTTCTCTTTATAATAATGCTGAACTTAAGCAGTAGTAGTAGTAGTAGTAGTAGTAGTAGTAGTAGTAGTAGTAGTAGTAGTAGTAGTAGTAGTAGTAGTAGTAGTAGTAGTAGTAGTAGTAGCGCCCCTTCAAGCGTTTGACACGGATCCCTTGGTAGCCATTGCAACCGAAGTAATTACAAGAAAGAGTCGCAGCAATTATTTTAATTAGAAAAAGTTCTGTATTCAAATATCTAAAAAGCAAATATCTTCAACTTATGTTATGCTAAAATAACAGTTTTACTATCACTTGAAAATTGTATTGCGGCAACATCTCCTTAATATTGATCCTTAGCATTTATTTCCGTTTTATTAAGTCGTTAGCTCGCAGAGTTTCTAAAGCGAATTTCCGTAGTTCGAATTTTACCACTCGAACTTTTTTTTTAATTTTTTTAAATTTTTCTAAAATACAAAATCAAACACTTTTGAAGTTTTACAAATATTATATATATAATATAAGTAAAGATTATACACTTTAACAAACAAAACGGATAGAATTTTTAAAAAAGCTTAAAATTTCTTAAATCATTAAAATGCTGGAAGAAATTTGTTGCTAATATGTCACGATAAAATTATGTTATTAATGTGCTCAGATAATTAGTCTTAACAAACTGCGGATGGTCTGAAAAAAATATATACGGCCAGATTGAAAAAATTAAAAATATATTGTGTCAAGAGGCGGAATTTAGTCCTCCTAAAAGGACACCGATGACAGCGCACTGAAGCTTTTCTCCTAAACGCATATCAAAGATATTCGTTTAGGAAAAAAACAAACCAATTTGAATTGTTTTACTAAAAATATTAAAGTAAATAAGGAATCAGTATAATGATCGGTGTAAAATAGGTAAGTATAGAAATGGTCAGTTTTGAAAAGACCCGTATTTTACGGTTTCGGACGGCTAGGATATATATATATATATATATATATATATATATATATATATATATATATATAATATATATATATATATATATATATATTTATATATTTATATATATGTGTGTGTGTGTGTGTATGTGTGTGTGTGTGTGTGTGTGTGTGTGTTTGTGTGAGTGTGTGTAAGGAAAAGGTATAGAAAACGTCGGTGCAGAACAGACTTACAAAGACTCTTTTTTAATGATCTAGTCCGTTAGTCTTCATAATAACGTCATAAGCAATCCATTCTTTTATTTAATTATATTCTTTTATGCAATACATTCTCCAATTTCATAATTTATTAAAAAAGAATTGAGGGGACTCGTTATTTCTTGTTAAGAGTGTTGTGTAAAATTTATTATTTTTGATAATAATTTTAGAAAAAGTAATCCCTTGCATCATGTAAGACAATTGGTACCCAGTCATTATTACGGACCACCAAGTGCTGGTTGGGGTGGATTTCAACCAGGTTATACCGGAGGTGGTTGGGGTGTTCCATATTGGTATAAGTAAGTTGTTAAAAATATTTATTTTCAACAAAATTAATATCTAATTTAAAAGAAAAAAAAAATTATAACTGGTGATTTATCTTTTGTTTACATAATTTACCTGTTTTTATATTTTTTTATTTATAGATCAAACGTGGAAAGGCCAGAAAAGCAAAGCAAAAAAAAAAAAAGTTCAAAACACGTTCGTGCTTCAAGAAAATTCTTAGTAGCTAATGGATATGCACCTATTTTAGATAACAACTTACACGGCTTTCAAAATGAAATCCAAACACCCATATATAATGGACGTTTGCAAAATTTTGGTCCGATAGATAACTTGAATTACCCAACAATGAGAGCAACAAATGAAATAGACAATATTGAATTGTTTAACAATCCTAACAGCTTACAACAAATGAATGCTTATTCTGATGACATGAGAAATCAACTTGCTTACCAACCTAATCGAATAATAAGTGGTTCCATAAACGGACTATTACATAAACCAAATTCTATTTTAACCGCGGAAAAGAATTACCCTAATCCATTCGTTTTAAACAACTTTGCACATAATAATTTGTTATCACATGAAGGTCTTGTTCAATCACCAAGTAACCCAGCAAACTCTTTAGATTTCTCAATTTGGCACGGTCCAAATAGTTTAGGAGGTTCTGGATGGGTTGGTAACGGATGGGTTGGCAATCATATTGGATTAAACGCGCTCCATAAAATAATACCTGGACATGGCATTGGTATTCCAATTATACCTAATGACAGGCCTCTTGAAAATATACGCCAATAAAGATTATTAATAAAAAATGTGAATAAATAAAATTTTAAAAGGTATTATGAACGTTAAACTTGATGCTTTATTGTTCTTATATATCTTTAACTATATTGTCAGAATGGCAATAACTCCCATACTGACGTCTTCTTTCTGCAAATTTATTCTTCAACCTGAATTCCATTTATCTTTACAAAAGTTTTACATCAATTTATATAAAATAACTTCTTACAAAAATCGATATTACAAAAACTGCTTAATACATTATTACAATTAAAATAATTAAGAGCTATCAATAAAAAAGAAACTACGTAATTTCCATAGAATGTTCTTGAATTATCTACACCAAATTTACACTCCTCCTTGGTCCTTAAGGATCATGCAAATAATAATCATCGTATTTTTGGGGCATGCGCCGTTCTTGAGTACTTTGTCAAAAAGGCACTTTAGTATCTAGGAATCCATTTTTGGCTTCACCGTGTGTTTGTAGTACATCTTCTTGGCTTATCTCTACTACACTTTTACTTTGCTCCACATGGTATTCGGTTTTATTATGACTATTGTCTGTGTTTATTTCTATTTCGACTTTAGGAATACTGCATAATGTTTGAGTGTCATTTCGAGATCAGATATGTTTTACGTGATACAGAACGCCATTACCTTCTACAAATTGTTTCTAGATGTTTTCAGTTAGTTTTGCTGGCTGCCACTTTGTATGGCACTTTGTATTTGGTGGTTTCAACCACAATTTATTCTTTTTTTTAAACGTTTTTTACGTCAGATTTTGACGGAAAATTATCATTTTTCAAACCTTTAACGTCAGTTTGAAACCTGTATATTTTCTCCATCGGGCTTGCATTGTTTTTGTCGGCTGAGACATTCTGCCAATATACTGTTTTTGATCTTTCTACAATTCTCTTAATTGTACAATACTTTTTTCCACAATTCCATTTCCTTTGGGATAATAAGTATCACGAAACCTATTGCGCATTCCGCAACCATCAAGAAAACTTCTCAATTCCTCAGTTTTAAATTTGTTTCGTTCTCTGTCAAAATTTTAGACCGCGCTCATCGCTCACAAAAGATCAGGCGGAGTATTCGAGTAATGGCAATACTTTTGTATGAACTTGAAAGTTATCACTACATTCTTGAAGGTCCACGATAAATTAGAGTAAGAAACTTTTCTGTTCCATATTTCGTGATACCCATGGCATAGCCATTCTTTCCCAATTTTTTTTAGCGCTCAATTTTTATATTTTTAGCGCTCAAAATTTATTACCCATTGTACAGGTGCTGGATCTATTGATTGACATGGTTCACAATTTTTAAATACAGCTCGAATGTCATTTTTGGTAGTTGCTGGAATTACTTTACAAACAAATTTTAACGTTTGGTTTACTCTAAAGTGTCCGGTTCTCTTTTTTATGCTAGATATGGATTCAGCTTCTGCAACTACTACTCTAACGGAATTATTCAAATATCTAGGCTTTGTCAATTTATTCAACGATCTGCTTTGAACTCTTGTCAATGAGTCAGCTAAATTATCTTTTGAAGGAATAAGTTTTAAATTAACATTAAAACTATATTCTTCGAAAAATTGATGCAGAACGCTTAGTATTGTTTGAATCAACATTTCGCCTATTGCTTACAATTTTATTCTTGATTTACCAGTAAGAACTTCAAAGACCCAGTGAAACACTGTCACGGAATCTTTGAAAATAGTCACTTTCTTTAGTTTCCATGTCAAAGCCATATTCATTCATCGCGTTACAACATTCAGCTCCGCCATGTTAATGTGAACATCAGACATTTCTTTTTGTAGCCATGTTGCATTCTTTACAGTAGTTATACTATTTTGAATAAGAGTACCAAAAAGAAGTAGCGTTAACCCATACATCACCCTCGTTACCATGTACAGCCCAATCGCCATATACTGGATTGCACTTCCTCACCTCACTGTATACTTCTTGAAGTACACACTTTAAATTTTTATTGCAAACTTCGTCATCCCAAATCTTTGTCGAACTAACAACTCTTCCTTTCAAAAGGCTGCAAAATGCACGTAATTAATTACAGACTGGCAAGTGACTAACTGCCCTCAAACGGAAAACAATACTCTTCTGTTCAACTTTTTTGGAATCGCAGCAACTCGATTCTCTCGGAGCCACATCAACTTGCCACCCTTGTACACACGTAATCCCAAAATACGAACCCCATTACATCCAACCTGTTCACCTTCCTTAATCTCCAAACTATATTTTTTGAAATGTCTTCTAACATAATCAAGTCTTACTACTTCCTCATTGACAAAAATGTCGTCTACGTAAGCGGATGCTTGCTTTTTCACCAACTCGCCAATCAACTATAGCATTCACACAGATTTCATAATCATTGACGCAACATTCAATCCAAAACAAAGTTGTGTCAAACAATACTTTTTGTTTTCACACCAACATTTTATCAACTGACAAGTCACTGTGTTTGTTTTGACCAGATTTTGAGTTATTTGCGAAAATTTGCAAATGGCTTCAGCTCGTTTTTAAACTTAACACCGTCTTCATTTTTGTTTTAAAATTTTTTGATTACTTCATTAGGGTTTAATGAAGTGTTAACATAAATAGCTAAATCGTGCTGGACACACGGTCCTGAATAATACGTAGTTACTGTAGTAATAACAAGCAGAATTAAATCATTAATTAGTTGAATCATCATTAATTAGTTAAATCAAAGCATTAATTTGTTTGAATCAAATACATTAATTAAATGTTACCCATTAATCGTATAACTTTGCGCACTCTAATAACCGGTGCAATATCTGTCTATTATTTTTCTATCTCGACTTCTTCTGTCTTTCACTAAAATATTCTTTATTCTTATTAAACTAATTTACTCTTGGTCCTTCGAAGCAGGCTATGATGCTCTTTAGTGAGCCACTATATGGCAATGAGCCGGAATAGGATAAACCACAATACACAAAATTCTTGCAGAATTTTTTTGTATTATAAAAATAATAATTTTAACTTTTTTTAGCTTTTTTAAAGATATTTGGTAAAATTGGGTGGCGACTCGTACTTAATTTAAAGAAGTGCCGTACTCCATTGTTGCACAGTTCAGTTAGGTGTTAAAAGATTTAAGTTTTTCCATTTTATGAGGTAAATCTGACCATTTAAAAAAAAATGAAAGGGGAGAGATGGTGAAGTTTGGTTGATTCAAACTAAACAGTAAAGTAAGAAGAAGGAAACGGGGGTGTTAGGGAAAGTGGGAGGAGTCAATTATCAAGTTTTTTAGTCAATTTTTTTATAATGCTAGTCTTTTATTGTCTTGATCTATATAACTATGAAACTACATTATAGGGGAGAGTCGGGTATTGACGAACACCTAGGCAAAAATGCGAATTAAAGACACCAATTATACAAAATTGATCATATTTATTGCTATCATTTAGTCTAATTATTCAGTCACAAACCTCCAAAGCACTTTTTATAAATCTAATTATAAAATAAAAATTTAGGGCAAAAATAAAGCCATTGGTGTTCGAAATTACCCTTTGTACGTGTTGTAATTCCAAACACACCTTGGGGTAATCGCAAACACTGTTGTGTAATAACAAATAAAATGCTAATTGTAATAACTAATTGTAGAAATCACAGAAAAGACCTCAGGATATGCTCACCTATATCAGGCCTTACAATTGTATCACATAATCTAGTATTCCATGGGCAGATCAAGAAACTTTTCATCGCAACTTAATACAAAAACACTCTTTTAAAATTTATATTTAACGTTTTAATTATTATAATTCAAAAAAATCATTACAAACAACAATCACAAACAAACCCCGGAACGTGCTTTCACCAACGACTGGCATTTGTGACACATGATTCAGTTTTCTGTGTATAGATTCTTATACTTTATTTTTTAAATTAAACAAAAATGTTCTGTATCACCTCTGGCTCTCTTTTTTTCTTTACATGATGGTACATGATTAGCATCTAATAGATTAAAGTTTTTCTTTCTCTTTTTACTTTTATTAGTATTTTTTACTACTTCCTACTTACTTTTCTTTTGCTCTAAAATATTTCTTTGCGAACTAGTAATAAAAGTGACATGTTTTTTTCTTAAACATTCTCTGGTTTTCACTCTATTAAATAAAATTACGTATCTTACAATTTACGTCCGTGTGACGTCCGTGTGATATTAGTGACACTTTAGACGTTCAAAATTACCCCACTAAAATTGTTTGTTATTTCTCCGCGGACAGAAACGAATGAAATGCAATTAATATATTGAGGTTGCATAGTATCATAAACAAGGAGGTAAAACTCCTTAATTATGATACTATGCAACAACAACATCATAAGAATTGGTTTTATATCCATAGTAGCAATAACAGGAATGTTCTCAATTCTCAAGCAATAAATTACATGAAACTATTAGAAAAGGTTAGGATCAATTTATTGGGAACAACGAGCGCAGCTTCACTACACTATTACACCCCTACAAGAAATTTTAATGTGGGCTATATATGACATTTGCATGCTAACCATATGCTTACCACTCTCCTTTATGGGATGGCGTTGATATGTGGCTATAATGTTTATCCCACTAAAACTACACTAAATAAGAACGAACGCCACGCTTCATTTGTGCGTGAAAGTTTCATGTGGCCTACGTGTGGGAAGCACATGTTAGTCATATATTTACCACTCTCCTTTACAGGATGGCGTTGGTGCGTTTCATATGTGGCTTTAATATTTATCCCACTAAATACACTCTAAATAAAAGCTTTCGCCACACTTCGATTGCAGGAAGAAGTCATATTTATTCCTATACTCTTTTATCTATCGAATTATTATACCCTATAAGTTTGTAATATACGTTACCAAAAGAACACTATAACTAACGAATTTATCACAAAGAGAATTAAAAAATATACACACTAAACCGCAATGTAGTTAATTAAATTTGCAGTGTTGCTAAAAAAATTGGAGATTCAAAATTAGACTTAATGTTTCAAAAACATTTTTGCTTGTGGGTTTATAAAATCTTAAAAGCGTACCAACAATTTTAAACTTT